TGGACTGAAATCTTATTGCTAGCAATATACCATGTCAGGTTGACCTCAACGCGGTTCCTCCTGGAAACCATCGTGATAAATTCTTGGTGAATTTGTCACGATGGGCTAACCGACCTGATCTTATGCTCATCTTATTATCCTCCACTGGTGCTCCGACAGCGTAACCCGTTGGCGCAGGCGGGTGCACCATTCCATTGTCATCCATAAAAAAAACCGTCCGTCTCGAGAACACTGAGATCTTGACTTTTGATATTGGCTAGACCCAATTAACTTATTAATGAAGATACAGACAGATTGACATACAGACAAACTTTATAGAAACTATAGTTTCGGCTGTTGTTACTCTAATAAACTTTTTATACTCAATATTTATTGCATTCCATAATATTAGATTAAAAGATTAGTTCATAATTGGTTTTAGACCATTATGGACCCTGTTAGCGCACGCAAACATAACAAAATAATTATTATAACATATAAATTAATATTATTCATACATCCTATTACAATATGAAATAAATCTAAAGTATTTAAATATTCGTTTATATTATAATACTGTTTATTAAATATAACTGTAATGTACAGATATCGGTCTGGTACAGATTTATTATATACTAGCTGTGCCCGCGGATTCATCCGCGTTAAATTTCAATAAAAAATATTGCTTATATGTTATACTGATGCATAAGCTATATTATTATATAGTTTCATCAAAATCCATTCAGCATTTGGGTGAAAGAGTAACAAACATCTATGTATACTCACAAACTTTCGCTTTTTTAATATTAGTAAGTTATATTCGATAAATATTGAATATAATTCTTCATTAGTTTTCACAAGCAAACTAAGCATTTTCTGTTGTCCTCAAGCACGTCCGTCGATACAACTGTATTTAGGGGCCATACATAAATCTATACAACATACCTATATCGCGACACGTGTTTCGCTTCCGAACGAGGGTCCTGCCAAGGTGCAGGATGAAGCTGCTAACAGAAAAATGTTTTGATTAAGACTGTTTTATAAATGAACATGCAATAGAGATAATATTCATAACTTGCTACTCGCCCCGCCTTCGCACGCGTGTACATGTATTATATATATAAACCTTCCTATTGAATCACTCTACCTTTTAAAAATAACAGCTTCAAATCCGTTGCGTAGTTTTAACGATTTAAGCATACATACAGAGACAGACAGCGACAGCGAATTTATACTATGTAATGATGATACGATTACCTCGGGTAATCCCTTTCTACGCAGTAAGCCAGCGCTTCGGGGACCCGGGTCCAATTCCCAGACGTTTCATGTTTTTCCAAACATTCCGGGAATTTGGTATGCGTTCTTAAAAAAAAAAATTACCTACCGGTCCTAAATTGGACTCCGAACAGTCAACATTATGTTTTCGAGCTATATCCGAACTGTATTCAATGTCAGATGTTGCCACGTTCAGAGGCGAAACATGTGTCACAACGTGTATGAGTGTAAACAGAGAAGGTCGTACTTCCAGTAATGATGGTCAGGTTTCAGAACTAAATATTTGTAGTCCTACATATGCGAAATTAAACAAAATGGTATAAATATACTAAGCAATGAAATGTACTTCCGCAAAATAACAATAAATTCGAAATAATTTTATATATAAAATTATAAAATAATGTTTTTGTAGAAAATATCTAACTTAAAATCCATAGCGCTGACAATATTATCTGATTGAACAGAGATTAAGTGCGTAGCGGTTTCTATGTTGATTGTCGCATGCCTAATCCTTGTTGTTAATTAAGTCAATATTTATTTAAAAGAGCAACACACAAGTTTCTAGCTTATTCTTCTTGTGATGAATCTGCATTCCGAATAAGCGGTAGAATAAAAAAAACTTGACTATTCAAAAGTGCTTATATTAAGTTTATTTGAATAAAGATTATTTCTATTTCTATTTCTATCGTGTTACAGGTTTCGTGTTTATACTCCTCTGAAACTCCGGCTTGAAACGCCGATTTTTGTGAAATTTTATATGTATATTCAGTAGGTCTGAGAATAGGTTTGTAACTAATTTTAATTATTATATTTTTTGACAATATTTTTAATTTTTATTATTATTTAACATTGAAAAATACATACAACCCTAAATGTTCACCTTTCTAACACCAATCTCTATTATTTAATACTAATTTTAATTTATAATAAGGCTAAACAACGTTTGCCGGGTCAGCTAGCATATATTGTAAGCTAGCTACTCGCTCCGGCTTCGCACGGGTGTACATGTATTATATGTAAACCTTCCTCTTGAATCACTCTATCTATTAAAAAAACCGCTTCAAAAGCCGTTGCGTAGTTTTAAAGATTTAAGCATACATAGGGACGGACAGACAGCGACAGCGACTTTGTTTTATACTATGTAATGAAGTGTGATATCAAAACCTAAGACCCAACTCGTACTCCTGGGAGGGTTCTCAGATTGCATTATATTTATTCAACTCCAACCCCTTGTCATACAATGTCACTTTTTGCCGACTCCTGATTGTCTGACGTGATTTATGAATGGCCCCTTATTAGAATAAAAAACCAATATAAATTGAAATAAAAGAAAGGATCACGTTCGGTGCATTGTAGATTTGTAAGAGAGAGTTGGAGCTCTTATTATAATTGAATTTGAATAGTATTGAAGTAAGAAAATAGCATTTTTAAGTTAGTAAACATACAGCTAGAGAGTTATTGAATATCAACTTGTTTGGCAATCCAGTTATATAACTGTTTACTTAGTTTACTGTTTACTTTATAAGGTTAGGTTAGGTCGTGTCGAATATTTAGAAAAGAGTACAGTACGGCACATAACTCGTAGGATAGATGCCGTTTTGGCAGTAAAGTCCTCTATTGGCGACCGCGGACCGGAAGACGTAGCGTGGGAAGACCTCCAAGGTGCACCGACGATTTGGTAAAGATCGCTGGAAGGCGTTGGATGCGAGCAGCGCAGGACATCGTGGACATCTTTGGATGAAGCCTTTGTTCAGCAGTGGACGTCTTCCGGGCTGAAATGATGTTAAAGATGATGACAGTACGACCTAACCTCGACTTACGGATAGCTTTTCTTCGGATGTGAGTTGATTTAGTAAGATAGTCTGATGCTAGTTACAAAGTTATTCCTAAGATAGCAAACAACAACAAAAACTTACCTTTACTGAATCTCACGACTGTTTAATTTATATCAGGGTACTAAATACGAACGCACACGCAAAACAAAAAGCAAACAATAAAACAAAAGAAGGCTGTCTTCTCGCCGCATAAATAGATAAATATGACGAAATTTTATTTTGGCTCCTTTTATGAAGACATAAAACGTTGCATATAGAACAAATATTTGCATATAGGGCACAGAAGCAATTTATATGTTAATCTGCGGTGATTTGTCTGGTCGCTGTGGCTCGATAATTCATATTTACCTAAATTTCAGATAATACTTAGAACAATTAATAGAAAAAGTATTGAGTATTTTTTTTCCAGATCATGTGGAGGAACAGATACCGTGTCCAAAGAAGACATTAAATACTAGTTACGACCCGTGATGCTACTCGTATTAAAGACATTCTATATCACTTGTTGATAAACGTGCCGTTCGAGCGATCTACTGTATGAAGAGTCGTGACTCATTAAGAGAGAAATTCAAAGAGGCAAATATTCTCACCGTTGCTTCTCAATTTATATATTCAAATATCCTATATGTTCATAAAAATCTTGACTTATTTCCAAAAAACAGCAATATTCATAATATTAATACAAGATTTAAAGACAAACTTGCTGTCCCCAAGTATCGTTTAGAAAAAGTTAATAGGTCTTTTATGGGAATAGGTATAAAAATTTACAATAAGATACCAAAGGATATGTTGGAATTACCCTTAAATAAATTCAAAACATCTGTTAAATCATATTTACTGAGCAAAGCCTATTACTCACTAAACGATTACTTGAATGACGAGTGTGCATGGCAATAGTTGTTCATGCACTGAATTTTCATTTAATGTTAGACATAGACACCTATATAAATATACATTGTAAATAAACTGGCTTTAAAAAAAAAGTAATTCAATTGAGTTTCTTGCCAGTTCTTCTCAATTGGATCTATATACCGAACTGGACGGTAGGGAAAAAAATAAAATTATAATGTAAAAATTTGACGTTCATAAGCGGCTAAAATGTCCTACATGAATAAATGATTTTTGAATTTGAATTTGAATTTGATAATGTAGCTAAATATGGTTAAAATATATTTTTTGATGGGTCTATTACTGGTTGAGTTTTGCCATTACAAACGAAAAAACACGTAAGGAAATCTTTGCTTGAAAATCGGTGACGTTTTTTATGGACGAATAACAATGCTATCGGTATTAGTCGGCGAAGCACCGGTGGAAGATAATAATATAATATGTAGTATCTAGTATTCATAACACAAGCTCTGCTTAGTTTGTGACTAGATGGTGTTGTGTGAATTATCGTAAATAATAATAAATAATATATATATATATATGATATTATACATAGAATTTGACAGCCTCGATGGTCTTGTGGTTTAGCACACCGCTTTACTTCCGATGGTAGTGGGTTCGATTCCTCGCACGGTACAAACATTTGTATTCATGAGTATGATTGTTTCTATCGGTGTGGTTTCTATGTATAATATGTGCCTGTGCTGCACGGGGCCACACACTTACTAGGCAAAGCACCGGTCACAAGAGCACTGCGTACATTAAATCATATAACGGAGCAAATAGATCTCTGAATGAGTTCACGAAGATCGCTTTATTTATTGTAAGTTACAATTAATTTAAACAATAATGTTTGCTGCACTATTGTATTAGGCTAAGACCTGTAAAAATAGATGTGTGGAAAAATAAATAAATAAATGTATTTATTATCGTGGATTATTATTATCATTATATACCGTTATATCTATGCCATTAAATTAACAATCCATTTTTGCCAACTGTTAATGAATATATCTGTTTCAGAGTTAAAACGTCTCAATTGTGATAAGTTAGTCATAATGAGAGCGAAGCATGTCATCGAGGAAATCTATCGCACCACAGAAGTCGCTAAGAGCTTACGTCGAAACGACTTAGAACGAGTGAGTTGCTATCTTACGCAATAAAATGTGACAGTTGAGGGGTTGAGGTCGTCTTTTAAGATAAGAATTGGAATCATCACAATTGTTAACGTCTTGCCTATTTGTAGTATCTTGAAGTAGAAACTTATAAGTTCTATATCTGTGAAATAATTATCTAATATTGCATTTACGGCTTCACAACCATCCATTTTGGAATGTTCTCGTAGAACAAAAAATCTTACTAGAGTGAGATATATTATATATACAGCTCCACCACCAAGGAGGACAATGGAGGGAATACTGATACCATCGAAAGCCAAGATCACTCTCTCAAGGGTTTTCGACTAAATATGAATTACATTAAGTAACAAAAATGTGTTATGGCCATTAATTAGACTATATCCTTTTGACAAAATTGCAATAGCATATGCGGGTGGTAACCCTATTCTCTTAATTTAGATTTTTTTAAATGAATCTGTATTTTTGAAAAGAATAAGAGCTGAGTTTCTTGTTAGTTCTTCTTAGCTCAAATGCTCTTCTAACTGGCGATAGTTTTTCACATATTTGAGAGTCTGTAATAGAACACATACTTACATACATACTACAATAGACCTACATAAATGTATAAAGAATAGAATAGAAAATGTTATTACTATTATTATTTTTATTCCTGCAGGTTGGAAAACTATTCTTCCAATCCCACGAATCTCTGAGCAAATTGATGGAGGTGTCCTGTTCTGAACTGGACGAGCTTGTTGACATAATAAGGGGTGCACCAGGGGTGCTGGGGGCGCGGATGACGGGGGGAGGCTTTGGAGGGTGTGTCGTCACTTTAGTAAGTAATGGCCTGTAAAGCTAATATGCTTTTTTGATGGAAAATTATAGATAATTATAGACAAGTGGTGATATATAATAGATAACCTTGTTCTGAGTGGAAACGTTTGAGTTGCGTCACAGTATGATTTTGCCGTAGGTTTATAAAATAATGTTTTCCTTTGTATGTATGTGGTAACTAGAACGGCAAACTAGTTGATGTTCTACCAGATAATACGTTTCGAAGTATTGTAATGCTGTTGGCCGCAGCTGGCCTTTACAGCTTCACCGAACGATATCAGGCGAGTACAAATAGCACTATAAACTCGCGGAAAGACTTATGGAGCGGCTGAAGGCCAACTCCTGCCTGACGGATACGGTTTTATCTGAGGGCACCACTAGTGATTTGAATATCCGACGTAATTTAGATTCCTGTTTGAATAGGATGAAGATTGATCGGAGGTGACTGACGGTAAGTGGTAATCGTCGATTTTATACGAACAATGCCATAGATATCGTGATACCTGTGGTACCACTCATGCAATATGATTCCAGAGAATTGAGATGGGATGTACCCTGTAATTTCACTTTTTGCTTATCACTCTTTTTAAACTGTAATAAGTTTTAAAAAGCTGTAAAAATATATAAAAAATTGTCATGTTGTTTATGCGCGATTGAATTCTAAACTATTGGACCAATTTTATATTCTGTAGTTCCGAGAATAGGTTGTCTATTTTTCATACAGCAAAGAATTTTGTTTATTTTTGACACAATTCAATATTTTTTTTTATGATTCGGCAACAAAAAAGATACATACAACCGTAAATTTTCACCCTTCTACCATCAACCCGTATTTTTTAATTGCGATATTAATTTGTATAGTAAAAAACGTTTGCCGAGACAGTATGTATGTAAAATAAAATACTAGAAAATATGTTATTGTTTAATTGGTTAATAAAACTATAATGAAAAAAAAATTACAGGTAAAACGAGATGAAGTGGACAATTTGAAGAGTATTGTTTTAAAAGAATATAGTGGGAATCCTACATTCTTTATATGTCAAACGAACGATGGGGCGAGGACGCATATATTGTAAATAGGGTGGTAGGTAAATATTATTAAGTAAAAGTTGTAATCAGATTTTTTATACACGACGGACCATATATATAAATACATATATTTATATATATATACATGTAGTACTGGTTGTTACTCGCGACTTCGTCTTGAATTAAAAAAAAACACAAAACAATTCAAATAAAACATTTTATTTGTATCGATATACTGTAATTTGATTTGTGTTATTCGTTTTGTAAATATACAATATTTTTTTAATGTTTGTATTAATTATAATATCTAACCTACCATCCTGATCAATGTTCATGCACGGGATTTTCATTTAATGTTAAACACTAGTATAAAATAAATAAAAAACCCAGTTGAGCCAGTTCTTGTGTGTCAAACAGCTAGGCGACCAAGGACGTGAAATCTCATTCAAATGTGTTTATTCTTATTATACGTAAATTTTTTGGCATTTCAAACTTATTGCCTACTGGGGGAAAGAGATTCTTAGTACTTTGGACTAATGACCCTATGCTAGCAATGTACCATGTCAGGTTGAATTCCATGCAGTCCTGGAAAGCATCGTGATAAATACACCAAAAATGTATCATGATGGCTAACTGAGCTGACCGTATCTTCATCTTATAATCGTCGATTGGTGCCACGAAAGGGTAAACCGTTAGCGCAGGCGGGAGCACCATTCCATTATCATCCATTTAAAACCTATAGCCTATTGATATACCCTTAGTCAGTCTTAGCGTGCGTAGATACGCTACGCACCGCTCCGCGGGCTGCAGGGGCGGTGCTGCGCATCGGCAACTGCGGCCAGTGGCGGACACCGGCACTTCTTACCGGCTTACAAATAATTCCATTCTTAGTTTAATGTATGTACACCTGTCTATTCTGTTTTCATACTACATATATTAATCACAGTCCACTAGTTTTATTGGCTATCCAGCACTTAACAAGTATGCCGAATTTACCTAAATAAATTTCACTTGAATAACAATACCCGCATTGTACTCAGAATCTAATCTTACAAGCAAATCTTTTCTAATTACTATAAGAGGTGTCTAGAGGGAAATAACGAGGTATTTGAAGGCGAATTGAACTCTGTTAATTTTCCTTACGCACCTAGACGTGGATAATATTTACTTGCCCAATTAGAACCACTTGTTTTGACAAAAGCGTATGTAAATATGTTTACATTGAAATGAAATATTGATATTCAGATTGTAATAACGTTATTAAATAAATACATTATTAATTGTGTTATTTCCTGGATTTGGACGCAATTCGAATTCTTCAGTTCGAATTTAGCAGTTAATAGAAACTTTTTGTGTTTATTTTTTATCTGAGTATCTGTCTGATGATGGAAACACTGTTAACCAATTCAAACGCCAGACAGAGGTATGCTTACCCCTGCTGCGTCATTTTCAAGTCATAGATAATTTTTCACAAAAAAATACATTTTTAGTGGCAATTCACACTCAATGGAACTCCATTTGGTCCCAAGCCAAGCAGAGCTTGTATTATGGTTATTAAACAACTGATTGATATACTTCGATTTTTTTTTTAAATGCATACATGATATACATAGAAAACATACTTGGTTGTTTATATACATATAAGTGTTTGTATCGTGCGAGGATTTGAACCCGCGATAATCGGAAGTATAGCGATATGCTAAACCCCTAGACAATAGAGGCTGCAAGTTTGATATCAAATATATCTAGCGAAATATCGGCATAGGGGGGAAAGGGGATTGTTAGTAATGTGGATTGATCACCCCATTGCTAGCAACGTACCTTGTCAGGTCGACCTCCACGCGGTTCCCCCTGGAAACCATCGTGATAAATTCTTGGTGAATTTGTCACGATGGGCTAACTGACCTGACCTCATGCTCATCTTATCATCCTCCACTGGTGTCCCGCCAGCTTAAACCGTTAGCGCAGGCGGGTGCACCATTCCATTATCATCTATAAAAAAAATATCGGCATACTAAGTGTAGGAATCACCATAACTTAAATAAATTTTAAATAGAAAAATCTGATTCTAAATTTAAGAAAACAAAAATATTTATCCTGCATTAAGTGTATAATGATTTTATAAGTGATAAAAGTCCTATCGTATTCTTTCTTCAATTAAGTCAGTAAAATGGCTGACAACTCCACGTTGTTAATCTAGTGTCGAGGCTGTCTACTAAAAATAAAGACTCATCCTATGTTAACAAAAATAAGGTCAAACGAAAGTTGTTGTTAGGTGAAATTTAACATACTCTACTAGTTTCAAACCAAATTACGATTTCATACTAAAGTATGGGAGAATTATAAAACTTGTCAATTATTTATATATTTATGAAGAAACCTAATATGTTATTTATATATTAATCAATACATTAGATATGGCGACTCCGCCTTGAAGGATCCAATTATTTTTAACTTAATGGTAATTGCGTAAGGTAAGATACTTTCTCTGTAAAATAAGCTTATTATAAAATTGAAGAGTTCGTAAATGATAATAATGTTTTTGTAGAAAAAAAATAAAATTCATAGGGCTGACAATATTATCTGATTGCGCTAAGATTGAGTGCGTAGCGATCGCATGCCTCTTATTGTATAATTAATTATTAAAAAAAATATTTATTCAAAAGAGCAACACACAAGTTTCTTTCTCATTCTTCTTGTGATGAATCTACATTCCGAATGAATGGTGGAACAAAAATAATGATTATTCAAAAGTGCTTGTATTGAGTTTATTTGAATAAAGATTACTTCTGTTTCTATTTCTAAAACTATAGAATATCTTCTTTAATTTTAGAAATAGGTTTTTGCCTTTCCGCTCATTAATAAAACTTATATTACTACTAGTATTTGTTGTTTTTAAAATTCATCTAAATCGGACAGGCAAAGATAGGCCTATATTGCCTAGTCATTGATTTAACTACTATTTATAAGTCTCTTATCTCTAACAATAGCTTTTATAGTATATTGCATTTTAGTTTGTCTATGTGTCATTTAATGTGCCGAAATATTGTTTATTTACACTTTTTTTTATTATGGCTTGGCACAAAGTGTATTCGCCAAAGACAAGTTTGGGAAACGGGAAAGCGGAATATGAACAGATTGTTTAAAGAAACTTTTTTTTAAATCTTTTCTTGATAGATACATAGTTCTTTTTTCAAAATTTGAATACCTACTCAGATATATGAAACTACATCCTGTGACATTGTTAGTTGTAAGTTTATTATTATTATTTACATAACCTAATTGTACAACTAAGAACCTAAAATTAAAAAGCTTAAAAAATATAATTGTTAGTTGCTGACGATGTCTCTTGATTTGATATACAAAATAAAAAAAAGATCAAAATTCCTAATTCAAAATAATTTATTCATGTAGGACATAATATTAGCCGCTTATGAACGTCAAATTTTTACATTATAATTTTAATTTTTCCCTAACGTCCATTATTACTTTATCTTCGGTGTTTCCATACCGAGAGTTATAAATATAAACTGACACAGTCTTTTTCGAAATCACGACCCTTCGGGTCTACCGGGTTTTAAACTAGAGTTATTTGAATATCTAGTTTCATTATTTATTGCAATCTGTACATCGAGGATGTAAAATGTATTGTTTATTTACTCTGTGATCCAATCATTCAGTCAGTTACTTAGAGAATGGTATTTCCCGCCATAAGTCAAACTACGCGGCGTAAACAAATAGCAATCACTTTTCAAATTCCGAGTCGCCATTTTGGAACGTCTTGAAAAGATAAAATATATAGGATTTATTTGCATTAAAAATTAATTTTATATCAACAGTATATTGTTTATAAATTTGAATTTGACGGTCTCTTTCAATGTGTGTGTGAATCTCATATTGGATAGGATACTAGCTATGCTCGCGGTTTCACCCGCGTAGTTAAGTTCAGTTACAGCGCGTATTGTTACTCTGATGATTACTGTAAAGTTTAATTAAAATCCGTTCAGTAGTTTTTTGCGTGAAATCGTAACAAACATGCCTGCTTACACATTTATAATATTACTAAGGATTATATGATTGAGATGATAAGATATAGCGAGTACTTAATAACTGGTATGAAACAAAGAATCGTTACCGTTACATTCGTTACCGGTAGTTTTTTTACATGAACAGCATTATAAACATTCACATTATCATGTGCCTATCAAAGTAATATAAAATAAATATTACTTTGATAGGCACATGATAATATATGCATATCAAAGTAAAACAACTAATTATATTGAAAATGTTCAACTTAGAAGCAACTATTGAGTACTCGAGCATTCCACATTCAGTACCTACTACATTCCTTGTATCAAAACTATAGTTCCGAGGTGAAAATATTATTCCTTATTATTCTCTATTATATTATAATTAGCGATTTCGGTGGTGTAGTGGTTTAGCACACTGTCTTACTTTCAAAGGTAGCAGGTTCGATTCCTCGCACGGCACAAACATTTGTATTCATGATTATGATTGTTTGTATCAGTCTTGATGTTTATTATGTATAATATGTATGTATTTACAAAAAAATAAATTAACTATTTATATATATTAGTTATCTAGTACCCATAACATGTCCGTTTAGCTTGGGACTAGATGGCGCTGTGTGATTTGTCCTGGGTTATTATTATTATATATGAAATGATATGGGTTATGTTCATTATTTATTATAAAAAGCAAATATTATCTTGTGTAATTCAACAACTCTTTAACGGTTAAATTTAACGGAATAGTTTTATAATATTCACAGTACTTCTGAAAACCACTTCGTCCACTTGACCGTCAATCTGTCCTGTTCCAACAGTAATCGAAATGACAACGATTCGAAGCCCTTGGGATACTTAGACTGAAATCGTATTTGTAAGGGAGTTTTTGCGTACAAGTGTACTTACACGCTTCCACAATTGAGTAGAGCGAGATAGGTCGCCCTAACAACGAGATAGGGCTTATCCTACACCATCTATAATGCGGGCTAACGTCACCTGACTTTCATGCGAGTGTCCTTACGCGCTTCCACAATTGAGTAGAGCGAGATAGGTCGCCCTAACAACGAGATAGGCCTTATCCTACACCATCTATAATGCGGGCTAACGTCACCTGACTTTCATGCGAGTGTCCTTACGCGCTACCACAATTGAGTAG